TGGCCGGCTCGATGGTTACTCCTTAAGGCCAAGTGTTATTGGCAGTTTTTACTAAAAATAATTAAGTTTTAAAATATAAAAATGCTTTATTATAAAAATGAAATGATTAATTAAAAACTATAATTTAAGTACTATAAGTAATTGCTATAACAGAAAGAAAATTAAGAAATTTTAAATGAAGGACAATTATAAATTATTACCTATATGTTAATACCTTACTATATCTTAAATCGCTTGAAATTAACAAAAATATTATAATAACAAATTAGATAATACCCTAATTTGGTAATTTAAAAGTATTAAATTTAATTTAAGAAAATTTAAGAAAATCTTTATTTATATAACATTTATAAAAGAAAACGTATGACCGTAGGGTAAGGGTAAGCTACTTCTGCCAAGCAGTCCTGCTCTACAATAAAAACAATTGTTACAGTACCAAACGCAGTTAAATAAATTAAAAGAATTACAAATTCTAACAAAATTTAATAAAACAAAAACATAGATTTTTAAAATTTACTTATTGTTTTAGTGGAAAACAATATATTAACTAGCCGTGCCCGTACTCTACTTCAGCTCTCTGCCTTATTCATAAATATAATGCCTGGTCTCAGCTAGGTTCGCACATTAAGATCATTAAATTTCTTCAACAGCCCAAAGCCTAAGATTTTTTATATAAAAAGGGTGGCAAACGAGCACACAGTCCACCTGATGGTAAATCAGGTGTGTACATACAGGAAGTGTATGATGCCACATCATAGACATCTACATATATCCTCGATTAAAAATCAAAATGCAGTATGCATTAAAAACTAAGATGGAACGCCTCGTTTCTAGTAAAAAGGTTCTCTACTCTCACCGTAAAAAAAACATAGCAGCATTAAGCTGCTATTTCACGTTGGTATTCTGTGAGAGCGTGGTCCCGGCCGAGCCGACCCATCATCCATAATGTAGCTGCAGCATAGTCCTGAGCCTAGAATATTTTGAATGTTGAATTACGAGTAGTGTTAAAATTACATAGTATTATATAAACAGAAAAATCGCATGAAAGCCGAAAATACGAAAATACAATTTTAATTATAATATATCGGTTATTTTCTTTTATTATATTTTCATATAAACAACAAGAATATTTTCAAAATGGTCGCCTTGAAATACTATTCCGTCCGTAGTCCATAGTCTCTGCCTACCCCTTTGGGTGACAGGCGTGAGTGTGTTTGTATTTATATGTATGTATACTATTCGAAACATAAAATATTGTTAATTTGACAAAAATCATAATTAACCCACTGCATCTTAAGACGACATTTGCCGCGTTATCAGATCATCTCGGCCTGTCTCACGTGAATAAATCCAATATTTTACTGCCCCACCATTGTTATCCTCATTAACCCTTTGTCTCATTAGACCCCCGACTTCATATTCTTCGTTATTTCCTTCGATGACAGCACAGATTAGATTCTTCTTTTTTTTTTTAGTTAAGTTCAAAACATTTCGAACGTCAACCTTTTTCGGGATAGTGTTACAAATAAAGGGTAAATGCGGACAGTCTTTTATAGCGTGGTTTTTATGTGAATACCATTGTTTTTTTATTACGTCGAAGACAATGTCGTGTAAATCGTGAATTTGATTACTATAATGATTTAATAATAAACATCGTTTCATTTCGTTGTTAATAAATACTAAAAAACGGCTTTCAGAGTTACTCTTATTGAAAATATTTTATTGTGGAATGAATGCACATTTTGAGATGCTTTGAGATGATTACCTTTGATTTTATTGCTAAAATTATAATATAGCTGCAGCATGACTCTACTACGCAAAAATTACTTATTATCATAAATACTCAAGTCACTATGTCTGTAATGGCTAAACCGGTGAACTAATTTAAAAAAAAAATTGGTGTAGAGATAACTTCAGCCCTGAGAAGCTACTTTAAATTATAGATATATATATCATCAGATATATTTTGAATTTAGTTGAGGAATAACTCATACTTTATACCTACTTCAATGACACGATGGATGGTACGCGCTCCTACCCTCGGATCCTGCTAAATTACTAGCTTACTTACTAACCACAATATGTAACAAAGCTACTAATAAGCGAACGAAGCTGCGGGTAACTCCTAGTATTTTATATAAACCAGCCTAAAATAGCTGCTTAATGCTGTTGTGTTTCGTATGGTGAGTGTAGAGAATCGAAGACCCTTTTTACTGGAAACGAGGCATTCCATCTTAGTCCTCAGGGGTGACCACTGAGAACGCATCTGCATATTGTTACTTAATCGAGGATAGATGTAGGTGTCTATGGACCAAAACAACTAGATACCATCAGGTGGGCTGTGTGTTCGTTTATCATTCCCATTTTCTATAAAAAAAGAAAGATACGGTTATCCAAATAGTTCACCTGATGGCAATTAAATGCTGTGGTCCATAGACACCTACATCTGTCATAGATTAAGAATTAAAATGCAGATGCGTTGTCAGTCCTGAGCATTATGCTGCATTGTTTATTGCTCTAACACCACTATTATACTTTAGTATTCTGTGAGAATGTGGTTTTTCCCCTATTCCACGCTTCTATAAAAAGCCGAAAGTGTACTTCAGTTCTTTATAGAAGAGTAAGTATGTGATTACTATAGCCCATGATCATCTGCTACACCAAAAAAGTTGTAGGAGCGTTTTCCAAAAACAAGTCGTGGTAGTCCAGGGGCTAAGCGCCCGCTGTAAATTACACAGCACGCGAGCAACCGGGATTCAATCCCTGCCGACACCAATAAAATTGATTGCAATTTTAAGTGCTGATTTACCACGTGCCACGGTAGTGAAGGAAAACATCGTGAGGAAACCTGCATGTCACAGAAATAAATAAATATTTCAAAGACATGTGAAATCCGCCAACATATTGGGGCAGCACGGTGGACCCTTTCTTGCCCTAAAACCCTCTCAGAAGTGAGAAGACGCCTGTGACCGGCTGTGGGACGTATATAGGCTGTAACTTTAACTTTAAGCGAAGTGTCATGTCGCGCGGCTCAGACGCATGATATACGCGGGTGAAACTGCGGGGCATAGCTAGTTTTATTATAAATTACCTTGGAATCGTAAAAACACTACTTAAAATAAAAGAAAATATAACATGAGTTATTTCGCGAAACAATCAATTACATCGGAACTGTCAAAGTGAAAAAGTTTTAACAGCATAACAGATAAAGTACGAAATACACATGTGCAGTTCACCAACACGCATTAGGGTAGCGTGGCGGATATGGGAGAAGGCCTGTGCCCAGCAGTGGGAATTATAGAGGCTGTAACTTCTTTTAGAAAAAACACCGCTACTATTTGGTTGGGGAAGGGGGGAGGGGTTAAGGGATACTTACTTACTCACTAGGTGAAAAACAATAGTAAAAATATTTCTACTTTACGTTGGTACTGTGAGTGTGATATCTATGTTATATAACGTACAAAACCGAGAGCAAACTAAAAAATACAAAACCATGCAACGCCATACTAAGTGTTTTTTCAAAGTACTAAATCGGAATTTGCAACCACTAGTTTTTTTTCCTAAATAGCATTTATAAGTACACTAAGTACTTGCCAGTCTGCCAGTTTGTCTGTCCATTTAATGTGCAACAAATTGACGCGCTTCCACAAGTACGAGTATATATTTAAAAGGAATACCGCCTTTAAGTTACAAGCTATGAGCTTTTAAAGTTTTTTAAGTGTCGGAGTCTGTTATCTTAACTATTAGGCTAATGAAGCTTTAGTACCAAACTGTCACACCTAATGAGATTTAAATGAGAATGAGATTTTTGTCTAAACGTCGTTTGGTACTGCACTTTCGCGAATCCCTGCAAATCTTTTCCTTTCCTTTAAAAAAAACTGAAGTGACAAAAGTACTTACAGTTCACTCTACCCTATGAAAAATGGCTACTGCAGTCCATGTACACCTGAAGCCAAGTTCAGGCAAAGAAGGCAACAGATGCGTTGTAACTTCTATGGACTAACATAGAATGCTTCACAGCCTGTAGTTATACTGGCTCTCTTTACCCTTCAATTGGGACACAGGAGCGAATGCACTGTGAGCGCAAGCAATACTATATGATGGCAGAAATAAGTACCTACCCAGACTCGTAGGCAGAAAAAGAAACCTACTACCTAGTACTTACACAACCTTTTAATAACAACTTACCTACTGTTATTATTAAAGGGCAGTCCCATCAAGTGATTTTACGAGAAACATAAAATTCACATAATCCACTTCTGAACATCGGGCTTTGCAATAGGGAATATTTTCCGTAACATTCACACTGAGCAGACGAATTGGACTTATGGGAATTTACATAGGACGTTTTCTTTTATATGAGAGGGGGCAAACGATCATTCCGCCCATGAACAACAGCAACACTAGGGGAATTGTAAATGCGTTGTCGGCCTTTTAAAAAAGAGTAGGCTCTATTTTAAAAGAGCCTACTCTTTTTTAAAAGGCCGACGAAAGTATTAAGAGATGGTTATGTTTACGTCTCCGTAGTGTAGTGCCTAAGCGCTTAATGACACCTTGCGGGATCACGGGTTTGAATCCCACTAGGAACAATACTAGTAACGACTATAAATAATTATCCCGAGTCTGGATGTTTGTCATATGAAATTCATTTATGCAAAGCACCTCTATGATATAGAATAAAATCGTAATGGTTTTCCGCCCAGAATTCATGTACAGATTTTCACACGTTGTTTTTTAGAAAAAAAAACACGGCTATGTATCGCAGATCGGTTAGTGAATTTTAATTTATCCGTATTTTAATTCAAAATAGGTTTTTACCCGTTTCGTTTAGCACCAAATTGAACTAGTAAATTCCATTTATAAATATTTATTCGAATTAATTATTATTATTTCCTAAACCATATTATTAAATTTCTATTTAATTAGATATTTTCCAATCCTAGACTCCAACAACCTCTATAATTATATACATTTTTTTTTGAAAATAAGTCATTAATGTTTTAAAGAAATCTAAAATAACACAGAATGGTGGCTTTTGAAACTAACACTAAATTCTTATAGCATAGACCACACATACTACTAAGTATTGAATACTTGTAGCGGCGCCGGATGAAAGAAAACTTTGCGACTAAGCGAGTGCGATAACACTTGTTCGTCCATCTTGGCACTACCCAAACAATTGTCAAGCTCTAGCCTAGGGTTCGTGTAGAGTTGCATTCATTCATTATTATTATATTTTATTTATAATTTGTTTATGATTATCGTATATGATTCTGATATATAAGCCTTAAGCTGTTATTTAACTTATCCAAAATCTTAACTGTGATAATCTAATTAATATAGAAGATATAAATATTATTGCATTCATCGATAAAAAATGCTTATGGCGACCAATAATTTAAAAGAAGCAACAGGTATCAATTCATTTTTTATTCCATTTTTTATATATACTCTCATTAAGGCAACAACCAACATATTACCGGCCCGCTGCAGTCTACAAGATATGGAGTTAGGAACAGATGCTGGTGACTCAGGTCTGTGCTTTGTGACTTTCCTTGTGGCCTTTGTTCATCTGTGGATGTGTAATGAGCTGTAATAATTATGATAATGAACAATACACAAATATTGCAAATGTGTGATACATTATTTACACATTATAGTACACATACCCTACTTTAAGCACAAACTTACTCTAATTCTTGGAAGGGTATTCTAGAAATCTTTAAATAAAAACAACATAATACTTAGCACGACAAACTTTGCAGAGTACCTGGTTGTTTATAAAATCCGGTAATATTTTATCAAGAAAATAAAAACACGTAATAAAGAAACAAAATAAAATTTACGATTTCACAAACACAAGCTACGATTATATGTACAAATTACCATCAAAGAAATGCCTTCTTTGGATTTATGGTTTTTCTCTCTGTAATTTTTTATTACTGATAACGCGTTAATTGCTGCAATGCGCATACATTATACTCAATTAGTGTGGCCACCCTTAAGATTAAAACAGCAATTCATTATACAAAATTTTGCAGTGTTTAATTTACTGCATTCGAAATCACAAATTTCTACTGACTGCGTCGTTAGTAACACGCACTGTTTTTTATTCAATTTTTGACTGACTTATTACAACGATGTTCATTATCGTTTTGGGAAATTATGACCACTAATAGATGGTAAGACGCTTTTGTAGCTGGTTGTAATGATGGTGATAATGATGAGACCATGCTCCAGTTGTTACCTACACTGTTGTGATACTCTTCATAATTTACTGTTGTGATACTCGTATTCTTTATACACTCTAAATGGTCAATTAATTTAAATTTAAAAAAGGAAATACTAACTTCAGAAAATTAAAAAAATAATAATAATTTCTATCTATATATAATTATATTTAATAGCTGCTCAAGTCAATGCTAAAGACAGTGGCCCCGACTTAAGAAGCTATTAAGTTAGGTTGCAATTATTATATTTAGGTAAGCTCCTGCGTTCCGGCAAAGTACGAGTTCATACTCGTATATTAAATGCCACATGCTGGCCATAATGTTTTTGTTTCCCTTAGGATCCGAGATGTGCGATAATATATGAAAACGTATATTAATAAGCATAAACTATATCTCTTTAACAACATTTTTTTCAACTAATACGTATTATAAACTTGCTTGTACGACAGGTTTTGTTGCTTTAATCATTTTGCTCATTATTTTAGAAACTGTTCGTATTTTTATATTTCCTTTTTTTAATAAATTTAACAGACCAGAACTGTTCCTTTAACCAAACACCGACAAATTTGTATATTTACTTATTTAATTTTTATAATCAAATTACCACCGCATGTCCAAGTGGCAATAATATTTACCTGGAGGTCGAAGATATTTAATTTGAAACCAAATACAAGATCGAAACATTTGTATAAATGTGGTAGAGCACCTATATTATGGTTGTTGCAAGAATGGGTCTGCTTGAATGGGGTGCAACGCGAGTAACTTTCTTCTTCATCGATTTCTGGTTCTTCAAGCTTCGTGAAAAATATACATCCACTATTATTTACTTATTTATTTAAAACCTTGCCTAGATATTATATCAATATGGAATCTAGGAATCTAAAGTGCTGGTTTTAGTTGAAGTTTAATCTTTAATGACGCCTAGCTACTATTCAGCCATAACGTGCCATCAGCGTTCGTAGTAGTAGTCGACAAGATCAAAAGCATTGATACGAAAAATTTAACCAACACCAAAGCTATTACGGTTTACGGTTTAAATAATGCAACAGAAATATACCATATTTATACTGTTTTCTTCTAATAATCTAAGCCAGCGCTTAACTACAATCTCATCATCATCATCATTACAGCCCTTCACAAGTTCACTGCTGAACATAGACCTCCCACAAGGAATGCTACAAAGCACGGTCTTGAGCCACCTGCATCCATCGACTTCTTGCATGTCTCAACAGGTCGACACTCCATCTAGTGGGGGGTCGCCCTACACATCGCTTACCGGTACGAGGCTGCCACTCGAGAACCATTTTCCCCATCGGTTGTCGGTTTTTCGAGCTATATGGCCGGCCCATTGCCACTTCAGCTTACTAATCCGTTGGGCTATGTCAGTTACTCTGGTTCTATGGCGGATATCCTCATTTCAAAGTTTATCACGCAGAGAAATCCCGAGTATAGCCCTCTCCATAGCTTGCTGAGCGTCCTCATGCGGCCAGCGGTGAAGGACCGCATCTCAGTTCCATAGGTCATCACTGACAACAAGCACTAGTTTTACACTCTCGTTTTCAAGTTTTGTGGTATAGGTACCCGAAGAGAAGATGTGTCGTAATTTCCTGAACGCTGCTCAACCGAGTTGAATCCGTCGATTGACCTCTCGGTCGAAGTTGGACATACCTAGTTGGACTATTTGTTCCAGGTAAACATACTCGTCAAGAACTTCGAGCTTAGTGCTCCCAACAACTATCGGCATAGGTGTGACATGAACATTAAACATGATCTGTGTTTTATCTATGTTCATCTTAAGATCTATCCGTTAGTAGACACTACTGCGGAGAGTGAGCATAGTGCTTAGGTCTATATCGTCTATATTGTCGGCAAATCGAAGGTGAGTGATGTACTCGACGTTGATGTTAATACCGTATCCTTTCCAATCCAGTAGCTTGATAACGTTTTCCAATGCAGCGGCAAAGAGTTTCGGGGATATAACGTTACCCTGTCTTACACTTCTCTGCAGTTGGATAGGTTTCATACTCTGATTCTGTACTCGGATAGCCATCATAACCTTACTTCGATATACTGACAGTCAACGTGGCACCGTTGAAGCGACTGTAGCACCGCAAATTTCGAAGTAATCAAAGGCTTTCTCATAGTCCACATATGCAAGGCAAAGTGGTAAATTGTACTCTTCTGCCTTCTGTACAATTTGCCGAAGAGTGTGTATGTGGTCTAAAACCTCTCCGGAAACCGGCTTGTTCGGGAGGCGGAAAGTCGTCGAGTTTGCGTGTGAGACGATTCGTAATGACTCTCGAAAACAGCACGTAGACGCTTCTCAGAAAGGATATCGGTCTGTAGTTCTTCAAGAGAGCTTTGTCACCTTTTTTGAAGAACAAGACCACCGCACTTCTGCTCCACGCTTCCAGAGTAGTCGCACAACGGAGGACGGAAATAAAGAGCTTCTGAAGGACTTCAGAACCTCTCAATCTCACTAAAAATTTCAGGTGTCCCGGAAACGATGTTGCCACACTCGGTTTTCAATTTTGACTGTTGGCTCTTTCTGGCAGACAGATCTCTGGCTTTGGAGCGTTGGTTTCGCTCTATCGCTTCTTCAATACAAGCTGTATTGAAGTTTCGTAAGTCCTGCCGCATGCATTTGGAGATCTGTCTGTTCAGTTGCCTGTATGCTATCAAATCTGTTGAAGACAGCAGCCTCATCTCGCGTCTAACAACCATGAGATTAAGAGTGTTATCGGAGAGTTTTTATGTTGTTCTGCGGCGGTCCTTACAGAATTTAGCTCCAACCACATGAACAGTTTACACGAGCTTATCATTCATACTGTCCACTGCATTGCAGTCTTCTAGGCACTGAACGATCTGAAAGGTTTCAGGACTTTGGAACAGAGCATAAGGGGGACGGAGCGTTGAGTTCATTAAACGAGACCTCTCTAAATTTACGTTTAGGTTCAGTCTGCCTCTAACCATTTGGTGATCGCTACCAGTTTTCACCCTCGCTAACTGAACATTTGTCGTCTGGTCGTCATAATGAAGTCAATCTCATTTTCGGGCGAACCGGGCTCGACCAGGTCCACTTCCTGTGGGGCCGCTTCTAGGAGAAAGAATTCATCATAAAGAGTCCCTCTTTCTTTATGAAGTTGGCCAGCTGCTGGCCCCTTGGGTTCCGTTGCCCTATTCGAAATTTCCCTACCTTGAGCACACCGTTCTATCTTGTGTCTAGTTTTGCATTGAAGTCTCCTATTAACACAGGTATAATATGTACCTTTAACATGGAACGAATCATTTTTTTGTTGAAATATTCTATTAAGTATTAATAAAATGTATTAAATACGTATGTTATACCTTCTGTATTCATAAACCAGCCAAGTGCGAGTCGGACTCGCGCATGAAGGGTTTCGTACCATCGTAAAACACGTTTATAGTAAGGGAGCCCTCCTAAATTTTTAACGTGGTAACGTCTTTTACGTGGTGGAGCCAAGCTGTAGCTATATTAGTAGTATAGTTGTAGCACGAATGGGTCGGCTCGACCGGGGAAGGACCACGCTCTCACAGAAAACCAGCGTAAAATAGCAGCTTAACACCGCTGTGTTACGTATGGTGAGCGTAGAGAACCGGAGACCCTTTTTGCTGGCAAAGAGGCATTCCATCTTAATCCTCACGGGTGACAACGCATCTGCATCTTGAGTCTTAATTGAGGATAGATGTAGATGTCTATGGGTCACAGTAACCACTTAACATCAGGTGGACTGTGTGCTCGTTTGTCACCCTATCCAAAAAAAAAATGTATTTTTATTTTCATTATTTATCGTTATAGCGGCAACAGAAATAGATATTAGCTGTAAATTTTAACTATCTACCTATTACCCATCACGAGATTAAGCCCGGTGACAGACGACGGACGGACGGACGGACAGCGGAGGTTAAGTAATAG